TCGTTAACACTGAACCGGTTGTGGAGAACTATAGGCAATTTTTGATGCCTACAAACCTATATATATCTATCAAAAGTATAATTCAACATAGCAATCCACACTAATCAGTTTGGGTTCATTCTTTACAAATAGAAGTACTTCATGGAGCAGTATGATTATATTCTGAATTCAAAGAAGTATCACTGCTGCATAAATTAAGAAACCAATCAGATTTTAAAATAAACTATAAAATTAACTTGTGATCGTGAAAATTAACAAGTTCATGTGAAAGTTAACAGGTAATAGTGACAGTTAACAGATGACAGGAATAGTTAATAAGTTCATGTAAAAGTTAACAAAAACCTATGAGAGTTAATAGACGACAGGAAGAGTTAACAGGTTCAGGTAAAAGTTAACAGATAGCCCTGATAGTTAACAAACGACAGAAATAGTTAACATGTAACTATTAAAGTTAACATTTAAGATGAGTTTGTACTGTGAAACCTGAAATTACAAAACTTACATCACACAAATCCCAATTTTATCAACACACTAATGATTACTTACATTTCAGTCAGAACTTTCTGCGTTTTTTTAGTTATAATATTTATATAACATTTTCTTTGTACACGACCTGTTATTATCACATTTCAAGAAACCATATTTCTCTTTGGCATTTTATCAAACACTCTATAGGCATTGATAAATTTTTAGCCCAAGTAATTTTATTTTAACATGCAAGCCAATTCATCCACTCACAAGCATTTCGACAAACAACACTTATGTCCCAAAATCACAAAAATCCCACCCTCTTCCTCCTCCTTCATGTTAAAATAAAATTACTCGGGTATGCACTAGATATGAGTCCTAACCCTAACCTTCATCTCCAACCACCTTTATCACCAAATTTATCCATACCCTCTCCAAATCTCTTTTTACTTCCCATCACCATGGACCTCACTGGCTCGACGAGTTCGACTTTCCTTCCTTCTCTCCTACTCATTTTCCATGCTTCTCTCCATCCATCTCACCAACCGCCTCTCCTTCTTCTCTAAGCTTTCTCAACACTTGCCTAAGATGAGGAGGTTGGAGGGCACACTCGGTGACGACGGCGGAGGAGGCAGGTGAGGAAGACATTGGGGTCGGAGGGTAAGAGGAGTAAGAGGGAGAGAGAAGAGAAAGGTAGAGTTAGGGGAGAGGAGGATGAGGAGAGGAGCATGAGAAAAAGAGAAATGCAGAGAGAAGAAGAAGAAGTACAAGAGAGCAATTTTGAAATTTTTTTGGGTTACTTTTTGGGACAATGTCAAAAAAGGCTGAATCACAAAAACTCTTGGTGTTTGGGTCTTATACATAAGAGAATCAATAGGGAGATGGGGCGCTCATGAAGTTTTTTTTGGGCCTTGCACATTTTTTCTTCAAATTATTATGATTTTTCAATGTTACTTCTCACTCTAATTGTCTGCTGGGGAGTAAAAAAATGGAATATTCTACACACTAGGGCCTGCCCGAATGGTCTAAATATATATGTAGGGTCCACCTAAATGGTTGGATAGGTTTGTTTCCTACATAATGATTCTAAGTTCAAATATCATGTCCATTTTCTTGAATTTGGGATGGATTTAGAGTGGACCTCAATTTTTGGGGGCTCTCAGACTTAGAAGTCACCAAACCAGCCAAACCAAGTTTCCTTTGTTGTCAAAAGAAATGGAATATTTCATCATGCTTTATTAATTTACTTGATTAATTTATAGCTCGGCTGAATTTAACCTTGGTGCATCATCACATCGTTGACAACCTCTCATCGTCCTCTACTCACTTCAAAACCCTTGCCCCAACCTTCGCCGAACGACACTGTTCATTGGAGTACTGTTCACAGTGGACTACTGTCCTATTTGAGTTACTATTCATCATGCTGAATGACACTATTCATCTAGGGGTACTGTTCACTGTGGGCTGTTGTCCTATTTGAGTTATTGTTCATCCTGAACCTCGCTTCCTCGACATCGATTTCGACCTTCAAAGCATCTTTGATAGCCAACTCATTGTCGGCAGCCTAAATCTACTACACCAAACCCTAGCCACCGCCTACTGACGTTCATCCACCACCGACCACCGCCTAGTCAATCCAGCACCACCACCACTCGACCATTAGAGCCAACACTGCATCGTTGCATTGTTAGTAGACCAGATCTACACCACAGCGCCACCACTGCTCGACCACAGGAGCAGATCCGCACCGCGGAGCCACCATTGATCTATCGTTCGAGTCAACACTGCACCGTCACACCGTCACTCGACCAACTCCGCACTGGTGTGCCACTCCACCCTAGCGACACCGAGCCAGAACCACACCATGGTCTACCAAGCACTGGTCTCAACATCACCAATTTCTAAGCCTCACAATGCCTTTCTCACAAGCAACTCATGCCCACCAACCGTGCGATGATATGCCTAAACACTTCCAAACTTGCACACCTAATTTTCATACGAGTGGACACCAACTATTCGACTTAATGTCCCAACTACAGTGACCACGACAGTGACACCGTCAAACCTCTCCATATGCAGTGCCCACGACAGCGACATCGCCGAACAATCTACAATTGCAGTGCCCACGGCAACGACATTGTCGGACCATCTGTGACTATAGCACCTATAACAACGACATCACCAAACCATCTACAACTGCGACGCCCACGGTAGCGACACCGTCGAGCAACTACACCACCCATG